TATCAAATATTACATAAAATCCCATTAGTGTGTGCAATTTTTAAATTTATATATGAATTGAAGTACATTTTAAAAAGGAATTTAAAGTATCTGTCCATCTTTATCTTTATTATTTTTTTATTTATGTATTTATATTTTAGAAGCAGGGTATTGCTTTGTAGTTGACTGGCCTTAAATTTGATGTTTCCCAGGCTGTCTTCAAACTCACCATCTTTCTACCTTCAGCTCCCAAAGTCTGGGATTAAAAGGAGTGGCTAACAATCCCTGCTCATGGAGTTTTTGTAAATAATGCCAAATGTGATATCCACTACTGTTTGAAAACATAACATATTCTGGGTAGTTTACACATTTTGCCTCACTTTGTGTTACTACTTTATCTGGTTAAAATTTCTTGCCATTCTATCCTGTTACTGTAACAATTTTTGTCCACAGCACTTATCATTAGCTGACACCTCAGTACAGATTCATGGGTTAATATATTACCCATCTCCTCTACTGGACTATAAGAACAATAAACAGGCTGAGATTCGCTGTATGTGATGAATATACAGTGCCTCTCTGTGCTACATTTGCAAATCTTGAAACAATGCATGGAAAATAGGAGACACAAAATCAGTATTTGTTATTTGAAATCATGAAGAAATTGATGTTCTGAGCAGTTAACTGATTGCTTTAATCCTTTCTGCTTTTAAAAGCTACTGCACAAGTTGGTACTAGGTCTAATACGATCAAACATGAAACCTGTGCATTTTCTCTGCACCATCCTATTTCCAGGGTAAAGCTGTGTGCTTGGAAGTGTCTCAGTCTCCAGACTGAATGCCCTTGAATGTGGGGAGAGAGGGGCGCCTGAGAGAAATCACACAGCTGCATATGTCTCTCGCCCACTTAGAATCATCTCATAATTAGGTGGAGATTCTTAAAATACAACAGAGACTTTATAAGGCTCAGTGTATTTTATGTTAAGGTTATCCACTGTGATCTTCTATAAAATGTGAACCTGAATGAATATTTCATTAGATATCTTATAAAGAACCTCAAAGAAGCCAAGTATGGTACATGGTGTGTCAAAAAAACTAACACGGATGGCATTGAGACACTGTCATTGTAAAATATTCATAACTATATAAGTATTTGTTAGGAAGTTGGAATCATAAAAACTTCTTGCCTGGAAATACATCCTCTTTTGTCATTTAGGAAGATGAGGTGAGGCCATGCTCTGTTCTTTTGGTGTCCTCCAAACATATGGGGGGAAAGTCAGACATTGGTAAATATACTTTACCAAGGTAAGACTCTAAACAAATAACATTACTCTAAAAATAGTAATCAGATTAAGAAAACTCTCTCTCTCTCTCTCTCTCTCTCTCTCTCTCTCTCTCTCTCTCTCTCTCTGTCTCTTCTGTCAATCTTTTACATGAAGAAACCCCATTTTTCATTCTAGGCCCTGTAACTCAGTACTCATAAGATGATAAAATGGTAAAATTGTATAATTTGTTATACCTTGCAAAGATCTTTCCTATATTACTTCACCAAAGGCAACCGCACAATGAGATCTCTCAAAATGAGAAAATAGAAGCTTAGAAAGTTTCTGCGAGTTCTTGAAGATTTCACACATGGATGTCAGAGAGTAAACTTAATGTGCTTTTTCTTATTTTTAAATTTTGTTCATTCATTTGTCATTTATAATCCACAGATGGCAGTTCACACTTTTATCAGATGCACCATACTTTGAAACATGCATACATTGTGGGATAGTTAAGTCTAACTAACAAATGCACTATCTCACAGGATCATCATTTTTGTGCTGAAACACATTTAATCACACTCCACATTTTACAGGAATGTGCCATTTTTACCATCATCACTTTGCTGAACAATAGAGCTCTTGAAATTTATCCTTTCTGTCTACCTATAGTTATTTATCTTTTGACCAGCACCTCCCCTTTGCTCCTTCCAATCTTTTGTGACCTCTATTCTACCCTTTACCTCTAAGTTATTAGCTTTTCAATCGCACAGATGAGTGAGGCCATATAGTATTTGTCCTTCAGTGCTACAGTGGACATGAATCACAAAAACTTCAGCTTTTGTTTCCTCCTTGTCTTCCTCTTATTCTTCCTGCTCCTTCCCCTCATCCTCTTTACCTCCTCCTTCATCGGTCTCCTACTCTCACACAGGTAAACACACTTACTAACACTCCAAACATGTAATAATTGATTTCCTCAGAAACATTTTCCTGTAAGCATTTCTGTCCTCAATCAGAAAACTGAAACTTTAAAAATAATGCTCAAATATCTAAATATGAGTTTCTGAATAATACTAATAATGATTAAACATTCTGAGTACTTATTGTCAGACATTTTGTTATTCTTGGATATTTACAGTGATCTTAGCCAAAAGACCAAGAAGCAGTTTTGATTGGTTGTTTTACCTCATTAATACATTAAGTGAATAATATAATTATGTCAGCTTTAGAAGGACAAAATCTGTGGATGAGATAATTTAGTTTATCACTGGAACAAGATCATGTAACTCATATGACTCACTAGAACTTTTGTCGAGTCTTTCTTTTCTATAGTGACTTTGTGTTTCATTTTGCATCCCTTGGTTTTTGCTTTCAGTGTTTCATTTATTTCACAAACAAGTGTCTGCTATGCTTATCTTTATACTTACCAATGAAAATATAGCAATTAATTTCAAATATTTTTATTCAACCCGCCAATCACTGGAGTCAAGCTAAATAATTAGCACTCATAAACTAAATGTGCTCATTTTTTTTAAGCTTCAATACTTCTACAGAACGTATTCTTTTATCACAGTCCACATGAATTAATTACTGTAATAGAAAACTAAAATAGAGGGCTGGGAAGCAAGTATATGATTATTGGTTTAAGGATCAAAGATTTTGTCTGAACCATTCTGGCAGCACTTTTAAGCTATTTTGAAGCTATAGAATCTAAAACAAGTCTACAAAGTTGCCAAGATATCCTGTATCAAAGAGTAAAATCCTTATGGTTAAACACTGAAGAATAGATATCAGCCTGGGGATTTCTATTATAATTTTGAATTAATGTTTTTCAAGAGAGAAATATGTGCAGGAGAGATATTAGATCAATCAATAGATAGATATTTCAAGCTTCCATATTTATCAATGCATTATCTGAATAACATGCTATAATTTTTACTTAATTTTCATTATTATAAGATAAGGAAACTTCAAGGAATGTTTAAAGCCTATATGCTGTATTGCTCTTTATGGACCATTATTTCAACCACAACTAAAAATATTTTTTCTGTCATCTACTTATTCATTTAATCCATAGGATTTGATTTCTTTAGACGTCATAATTTTCAAGTTGCAGAAAATAAGCATCAATTCAGAAAAAATTATTCACATAAATCTCGCTCTCACCATCCAACTGCTTGCTACATGGGTCCCAGATGCCATTCTGATTGATTTTCTTATGTTGCTATCAAAATGTCCATTAAACAATTAGTTAAATAAGAAGTAAATTAAACTATCAAGATAAATAAATTACCACTAGAATGGAAAAGTTTGCCAATAAATCTTAAAATTCTGTGACTTCCTTTCATAATCTGTGATTTTAGCATCACTGGACTGACATCTTAACAGAAAGCATAAACTAAAAATAAAAATCATTTGTTCTTATGAAGAACTCAGATGCTCTGTGTTGATTCCTTCCTATTTGTCAATTCACTTAAACTCTCACATGGACACAAAGACCTCTTAAAACTTCCCAAAGACTTGAAATCTCCACTGTTTGACTGAACACTAACAGTGCTGAAATCTGGGTAGCAGAGAGAAAGGAAGACTATACAAACTGACCCATTTGGCCACTTTTAATGTGACTAATTTCTTGATGAATGGAGTCATGCACCTCACCAAAGTCACACAAATTGCAGCAGGCTGATACTGTATCTTCCAAGAGAAAATTTTATGCCATATCACACTGGCCCTGCCACATCTCGAAGTTTCACGTAAGTGGACGAGGGCCTCAAGCAGCATCAATCAGAAAGCCCTAAAGGTCAAGCCAGATGCCCTAAGGTCTTGTGTGGACTGCAGTCAGAGAGATTTCATATGGAACCGCAAACGAGATTTGTGGGAAGCAGAATATCTAAATACGTGCAGAGCAGTTGTCTGTTCTAATGCAGCGAAGCCAAGCAGGGAAGCAGAATGAAAAGTGAAGGCACAGTTTGTGGAAATGCTCAATTTGTCTTTGCAGTTAAAAAACTGACAAACAGAAAAGAAACCACTACTGGTAGGAAGCTCTTTCAGTTCATTTTTTCTCTTTTTTGTTTTATTTTTGTTTGATATGATTTTATACATACAGAAAAGTGGCATGACTACACAAGATTGCTTATGGGCTTTTTAGTTTTTTCATTTAAATGGATTGTATTAGATTTACTGAAAATTTTCATAGTAGTTGTATAATTTTCAATTTCAGATCATCACATAAGAGGTCTATATTTGTCATATCCTTGAAGATATATTCATATATATGTAATATTCACATATCTACAGTTGTATAATATGTAAAATATAATGTAATATATAGTCATAAAACATGTTATAAACATGTGTATATATATTGCATATGTGTTAGCATCACATTTACACATTTGAGTTATATCTATATCATTAGCTGGGCATATTCAATATTGACACTGTATTATACACTAGTATTAATATTAGATGGGATATTGTACCAATTTTCCACACACATCCAATTTCCTTTTTACCTTCACTTTCTCAGTCGGTTCTACAATTGGCAGATTTCAGAGACTCTAAGTGGACAGCTGAATACAGTTATCTTCTAATCTCCAGGAAGTTGTTACATCTACCAAAATTACTCATGAATTATTCCATCCATCAGTAGTGAGGGGAAGTGGACCTGAATACGTCCCTGGCAGTGTCACCTCCGTGTCTTCATTTTCTGTCTCACTCTGGAGGAACAGCTGTTGATCGGTGGAGATGGTTTCTCCTATAGCTTAGAGCTGCACTGGGAATGTGTGGAGAGGTATTGGTATATATGAAATCATTGCCTAGTACCCTATAAATATGTACAATTCTTATGCTTTTATATATTACCCAACATAATTTAAACTTAAAAAGAAGTAAACTCACAGCTGAGGTATATACATATATTTTCTCTGGAAATTTAGTTTGGACTGAAGTTTCCTAGCTGTGGTCCAGGGCAGTACACAAGGACATCATCTTCTTGCCTGAATCAAAAATAGGGGAGATAAACTTAATATTTATTATCAAAATCAATGTCATTGGCTTCAGCATTTTACTAGCAAAAACAATTGACCATATTCAGATATACTTGAACTTCTCTTTTCTGAAGGTGTATATTGAATGCATTTATGGTCTGTATCCTAAGTTCAAAGAATATTAGAATGTTCCTGATTAGTTGGTCATTTATGACGCTAGTCTTGAAGAGTTGTTTTGCTTAATCGTTGCTGTTTTGAGCAAAATAGAAAACAGGTATTCCTTTTATGGTCTGTGATTTTTTTATATCAGTTTAAAAGACAATGCCTGTATTGTTGTGGAACATTTTCTTATTTGACAATTAAATATATTCTTAACAACTCTGAATAATAACTACCTAGTTTGTGTTTACTCATTTCAGTTATGTGATTTCTTCCAGAACTGTGAAACATTCTGACCAATCACTTTAATATGAGCTATTTGGGCATTAAGCAAAATCTGCATTTCTCATTTGATAAAATAATTTTGAGAGTTCTAGGGTAAAGGTCTGGATATTCAGTGGTGATATGAAAGTGAATAACTAAGAGTTTGTGTTGAGGTAAGAGCAAGTTTTCTTGAGAAACATTTTATTGAACCAAAATATTTCAGTTCATAATACAAAGGAGCATTCTATTTTACACCCAAACAAACTGTGACATCCATACTAGAAATTGCACCGTATCAGGCTTCCCAAATATGCCTCAGTTTTGAGAAATCTGTGCTCTTTCCTGAAAGGGCCTCTATGACTTCACGCTTTGCTCGATTCATTCTATGCTGAGCTGCTGACCTTCAGTGCACCGTGCTCAGGACCACAAACGCCTGGGAAGCAGGAACTGGGACATGATTACACGGATAAGACTGGTGTTGAGAAGGTGAAACGTCAGTCATGAAGAATATTTAATGTAATTAATTTGCTGGTAAAATAATGTTTTTAAACATAACAGTAATTTTAAACCTCTTTTTCAAAAATACATTATGCAACCTGAAAAGGACAAAATCATAATCGAAGGGGACTGTGCAGTCAGTGGTGAAATCAGCCTGCTCCAAAAGGAAACTACTGAGGGTGAAGGTGTAGCTCAGGGCAGAAACATTCACCTTCCCAGGACCACAAAAACGAATAAATGAAGTCTCTTTTTTCTTTGGAACTGTATTTCCTTATACTTACTGTTTGGGTACCAGCATCCATACCCACCTGATGGACTCTTTCTTCCCTGTCTTACTGTCACTTTTCCTGCTTACTCCAGAATCTAAATGTCACACTCACTAAATGTCTTTTCTCTCCAAATTGCTTCCTGACTATGGTGATCTCTCGCCTACTCACAACTGTTCTTATCATCGGCTAATTGGCCCTTTCATCTTGCCCTCTCTCCCATAGAAAGGTCATCTTCCACCTTCCCACATGAGGACCATTCATAAAATATAACTCAGATGAAGATTCCCTTGAGATCATTGTCTTAAAATATTTAGTGGCTAAATATGTACTCGAGAAGAAAAGGCAAAGTCCTTACTATATTGCCGGATGTGGTGGCACACACCTGTAATCTGAGCATACTGAGAGGCTGAAGCAGGAAGATTGGAAGTGTGAAAGCATCCTAAGTAACTTAACAATTTAGTAAGAACTTTTTGTTAAATAAAAAATAAATAAATAGGGCTCAAGATGTAGCTTAGTGCAAAGACCTTGGATTAAATCCTCATCACACACACATACAGACCCTGAACTAAGAATGTTTGTGTTTTACCTCCAATTACTTCTCTAACTTCCCTTGTTATTCCACCACACACACACACACACACACACACACATATAAAATTGGTCAGAATCTGTGCTACTGAAAGTGGCAAATACAGACCACATGGGTTATTGGGCACTTGAAATATGACTAATTCCAATAAGATATATTGGAATACATAGTCTACCTTTTGATAACTTGGTACAATAAAAAAATACAAGACAAAGGCTGAGGGTCTGGATAAGATTTCCATGCATCCTCCGAGTCTATGTGCTGCCAGCTTGGTTGCTCTAAGAACCCTGGGACCTGAAGCAAGAGCAGGCCTGGGGCGTCCTCAGAAGAAGGCACCCCTGTGGGAGCCCTGCCTCTCAGGACAACCTGTGCAGGGCTCAGCCTGACCCAATCTCCGCTTTCCCCCTTCATGCAGTCTCTTCTCCCCTCCCTGATCCAGTCCTCATCTCCTTGTGTCCTTAGTCCCTCTCCCAAGTACACAGCAGTGGATGAGGCCTTTGGACTCTGAACACCCTGCACTGGGAGCTCAATAAAACCCCATTCTTTATAAAGTTAGGACACACATGTGTAAATACCGAATAGTTACTCTAGTGTGAGAAACTGAAAGTGTAAATAAGGACTAAAAGGTATAATAGATAATGTGAAATAGAAGGAAAGGGGCAAAGGGGAAGGGGAATTCGGAGGAGTATTGGAAAGGAAAGAAGGGAATAGAATTAATATGAGAAAATTGAAAAATGGAAACAAAGTCTTTGTAAATAGGGAGGGATGGAGGGGTTGAAGGGAGGGCTGCGCAAGGGTAAAAAATAAGAACCAAGAGAGAGTATGTAAAGGTGCAAATTTCCAATGATGAATGTCATCATATTGTATACCTAAAATGTACCAATAAAATAAAATAAAAAAATAAAGTTATCCTGTTCTAGATACTTTGTTCCACTAACAAAAATACATTAGTATACCCGTTAATAATTTTATATTGATTTAATGTTGAAATAATAATATTCAGATATATTGGGTTATTAAATATATTGTAAAATATATTTTAACTATTTCACTCTTATTTATATCTGGCAATTAAACCATTTAAAGATGCATATGTGGCTTGCATTTAGGGTCCTAGTGATCATCGAAGATCCAGATATCTAAAGTTCTATGAACAGGAGCTGCTGTTCATATGGCTACATATTCAATGCCAGTGTCCTCATTTGTAAGAATAAGTATATGTTCTATATTTTCTATGAACACAGAGTAAAGATCTCTCTAAGCTCCTGTCAAGTGGACATAATGATTTCCTCCTTCAAGTTAGTGACATTGTTCTAAGACCCTGTCAACACCATTAGTGTTCATTGTACCCAGGCTACTTCTTTTTCCTGATGTCTACTCTTATCTCATACATTTTGATACTCATAAGCGATCATTGACATATTAATTCTGTTTTCAATCAAAAATTAATTTATCCTGTGGAGATATTTGATTCTTTTCTGAATTCATGGAAGAGGACAATGATGATAAACAAGTTTGTATACTGAATCAACAGCTTAAAAATAAAATGTTACAATTATACAAAATTCTGCATAAAGTTTGTGTGTGTGCATGTGTGTGTAAACTTGTGCATGGGTCAAATTATTTACATTTTCACATAAGTTTATGGAAAAAATTTACATGAAAGTAGGAGCTAAATAAAGTTGTTAGAGAAAACATTTGAAAAAATAATGAGAATTTCAGTGCTTAAAACGAATAAGTTTGGAAATATTTGTAAAAAGAATCAGTTCCTTTATTCATGTACCAAATGCAACTTAGAAAGAAATTCAGAGAACTTTGTAATTTGTATATATTTAAAAGTTCTCAAGAAATGCTATTCATAAAAGGACATATATTTTCTATAGAATCATAAAGCATCACAGCAAATAATAACTGTTCAAAAGTTTCCTTCTGGGCCGGGGATTTAGCTCAGTGGTTCCGGTGCCTGCCTTGCAAGTGCAAGGTCCTGAGTTCGATCCCCGGTACCAAAAAAAAAAAAAAAAATTTCCCTCTATCTTCATGTTGGATGAGGAAAGTCCCTCAAAGGTATATATTGTTTTGCTTTTACAACATTCAAGGTGATATTTCACTTTTCATGAAATTATGGGGAATTTCATGTGTATTTATAGTATTTACCTCATAGTTTTAAATATTATTTTATTGAAACTGTCCACTTTATGTCAACATTTTCATATCCTCGATAAGAAGTTGCTAACACACTGTCTCATAAATAATGTTTACTATCATATTTTATTTTGAGACATAATATATTTAAATAAGTACAATATAGTTAGAAATCTTAAAAAGGAGGCAATTTCATTTAGTTTGACCTAAATTCTTTATAATTTTTTAAATTCCATAAACTCTAGTAGTTACTTTCAGTAAACTCTTAAGGGAAATTTTCGTTCTTGAGAGATTTGGAAAATAAGTGAACATATCCTTTTCAAAAATGATTTTCTCTAATTTCACCCCAGTACAAGTTATTTATTAATGCATAAATATCACAAATAATTTGAGATAATTTATACTAAAGGTAAACATTATTGAAGCTACTACTGTATTTCTTAAAATATTCTTTTTCTTCCTATACCTCATTACATCTTTAAATTACTTTCAATGACATTTTTAGAAAAAAAAACAAGTGAGATATATATGGCTATTTATAATTTTGGGGATCTAATTTATAAATTCATTTCATATATTGCTATGAGCATTATGTAGTTAGTTGGGGATGATAATTATTGTAAGTTATATAACAAAGAATAACAATACCCACTCTCACTCTGCTCAAGAGTGGGGCTTAAATGAAAAAAAGTCTACATATGAAAAAATAACATACATTCACTTGATTTACTCCCTGGTAATGTTGAAGCAATTGTGATGTACTAAGCAATAAGTGACCAAGATATTGAGGACATAGATGTAAATAAGAAGCAGTTTCTATGTATTATAAGGTCAAAACAGAAGGTCATTTCTAATTTTTAGCATGTAATTTTCTTTTCACTCCATTGAATGTTATTTCTGTCATTACACATGCCATCAAACTGGATTACCATTTTGTCTTGTCTATAGAACAAAAATCACTAATTGCATGACATCCGGGAACACAACTAATTTAGCACAGAGAATTAGTGCATATTGAAAATTTTTGCTCAATGAAAAATAATAGGTAGCAAAGATGGTAGAGCACAATCACTTTTGAATAATGTAAAGATTATTTATTATCCCTTTTTTCCCTGAACAGTGTCATAAATGCTATAAGCCTCAGATCTCTCATACATGAAGTAAAATAAAGGAGTTGAATCAGTGACATGTAGAAATTATTCACAAGGGCTTTGAATGACAAAAATTGAATAAATAAATAAATAAATAAATGAATGATGGTTTAGTGAACTCAATAAATCTATGGTTAAAATAAATACAGAGAAAACCTTCTCTTACTTCCTAACATGGCGTTAAAATTAATTAATTTCAGTGTCTCAAAATAGAGCAACTGATAAAGCATTTGCTAAGTATATTTACTAAAAATACAATTGGGTTTAATGAGAATATTGTGGTAGTTGTCCCTCATTTAATAATAATTATAATTCAGGATAATGTTTTACAGATTCCTCAACCTTTTGAATGTTTTAATTTAGGAAATAAATTCTTCTTACTGATATATTTTTTTTCCAAGCTTGTGAAAGAAGAGGTAAAGGTTATTGCTACATTTGCCTCTTTATGGTTTTGATTAGTCACTTCCAAAATATGAATTATCTTAACAAAGTTACCATATTTTAAAATGTTTATAATACATAAACAATATATGATATTCAGAACAATTCTCAAATGAATGTCAATCTAACTGGAAAATGAATAATTTAGATAAATCTTAGCATTACAGCATTTTTATCTTGATGCTTTCTCTAGACTTTTACTTGTTATTTTTAAACTGTTTCAATCCATAGCCACATCTGGCCACACACAAGGAAAACATGATAGATTAATTCATCCTAGACCTTGTGACACTAATCCAAATTCTGGAGCTTTATTATTGCAGAGAAAATCTTCTGCTTTTTGCAGCTAAAGAGGAATCGAAGTCTCTTAGAAGAGATCAACCTGAAAGTTATGGTGATATTTATTTTCTGAATATAGTGTCACTCTCCCTTGCTGCAAGATTTGTTCACAACCATTTTTTCCTTGACAAGTTATTAGAGCATATTTAGAGTTATTTACTCAGGAAAATGCAAATTCTAATTTTAAGCTTTTAAAAATTTAATGTATTTTTGCAGTACATGATTGTATGCATTGTAGGGAATTGGTACATGTAGATAACATATCTAAGTTCTTTTTTATCCCCTTTCTCTCTCCTCTCCCTTTCTCTTCTCTCCATCTCTTGATTCCCTTCCTTTTTGCAAAAGTTCTACCTCCCTGTTTCCTATTACCTACCATTTATTTTGCTCTTTAATTTATTTATACATTGGATTTCTCAAATGAGAGAAAACATGCAATATTTAAGTTTGTGTGTTTGATTTATTGCACTTAACATTAAGTTCTGTTTCTTTACTGAGAATTGTGTGTTGATTGATGAGAAGATCTTTTCTTATATTTTTAGGTTTATTAAAATGATGTCTGAATTAAAGTGAAAAACATACTCCAGTCAATCTCTATATACTGAGGCTGAAAAAATGGAAACAAAGTCTTTGTAAATAGGGAGGGGTGGAGGAATTGAAGGGAAGGCAGGAGAATGGGGAAAAAATAAGAACCAAGATACATCATGTACAGGTACAAATTCCCAATGATGAATGTCATCATATTGTACACCTGAAATGTACCAACAAACTTAGTGAATAACAAAAAAAATACATTGAAAAAATGATGTAAGTATTGTTCCTTGAGAATTTCCAAGAAAATAACATTAAAAGTCACAATTACTTTAATATATAAATTGACAAGACTTCTGCAGTCAATAAGAGAATAAAGATAAATAAAATGTCAGTAAACACTATCAGTGAACTCTGGTACAATCATCAAGCATGGATATGAGATATTACAAGCGGAAAGTGAGACTGAAAATAAAAACTAATCTAAATAAAGGTAATAAGAGCCAGTATAATATAAGTGCATATCATTAGGAAACAGGAAGAGACCAAGATAGCAAACTCGGTGGAATTTTCTGTCAGATTTGAATAATCAAAATAAAATCTGGGATTTCATTATCAAACTTCTAATGCTGATGCAAATGTAATTGTGAATTCAATTGCAAATGCAATTGTGGATTCTAAGCATTTCATTTTGAATATAATATTACTTGTTTTTATGTGAGTAAATGTATATCATGAATATAAACTTCAGAATAGCACAACATTGTGGTAAAAATAAGTTTCTTAGTCAGAAATTTATGAACCAGAAATGCAGATTGACAGCCAGGGATGGTGTTGTATGCCCATAATCCAAGCCCTTGGGAGGTTGAGGCAGAAAGATTGCCTCAAGTTCGAGGCCAGGCTGGACTACATATTGAATCCAGGGCCATCCTGAACTGCAAAATGAGACCCTGTCTAAAAAACAAAAAACAAACAAACAAAAAAAACCCCCCAAAAATTTGGTTGACTGGATTTTGACACACACACAGAACTGAATATTGTATAAAACCAAGTGTGATAGAGAAAAAGTGTGATAGCTTCTGTTGTCCAACTTATGAATTGTATGCATTGAGTCAATGAACTATAACATTTTGTACAAAACTAACATTAAATAGAAAACACTTTAGCATAATAGAAAGTGCTCTATGTTTTGGTTGCCCAACATTTATTGAATTTTGAAAACATTTGAGCCTTTGAAAATGCTTTCTACAGTGAACTCAGTGATCTACAATGGTAATTAAATTTTTAATTAAATAATTTTACTTCAGAAGCTATTACAAATCTTTAACAAACGTACTCAAACATTAGACTTCTCTCCCATACCAATAGTTTGCTTTATCTTTCAGGGAAAGTTAAAGTAAAATCTTGCAAAATGGAAGCTAGTAAAATGTATTCTTAAAATGAAGGCCAGAACAAAGTAAATTAAATTGACAGAAGACTTAATTTTAAAATTCTAGAATTTTGCCTTGGAATTTCTCCAATTCTGAAAGAAAATTTTTGACAGCTCTTGAGCAGCTTTATTCAGAGACTGCTTTCTTGACAAATATTTGTTGTTTTTTTTCTTGTCAATGATTTATAAAATTGATAATTCAGGAATGATTACTCAGGAAATTGAAAGATGTGGACAAAAAAGGGCTGCAGAAATTACAGAGTTAGCTGGAAGTGTTAAAGTTTTTGAGCCCATGCATAAGACTAATGAGCGATGGTGGATCATTAATAAATAGCTAAGTGTGTGTCTCGGGCCTCCTTGATAGCTCATGAAAAGGTCATTATCTCTTATTGCAGAAGAGTGTGTTTAGCTGAGCAGTAGCCTGAAAATACGATAAAGTCTCAGATTTCCAAGGACATTTGAATTCAGTTCAAAAACACATCTCGTATGCTCTTTAAAGGGCCCTTGAGGAGGAAATCAGGATGCTTACACATGTTTCGCACACATCTGGATGAACAAATCTGAGAAGCTTGGCTCTGCTGATGCCCTCGAACTCTCCCGGCCTTCAACAGTGGCCTTCCTTGGCCTAGGCTCGTAAGAGGTACCACTGTTGCTGTGATGGAGCACACTGAAGAATCCTTTCCCATGCAAGCAAACGAATCTTGAATTTCAAAGCAGTAGCTATGCTAGAATAAGGGTGTGACCTGCTGGGCTGTGCTGGCTCTGATAAAGTAGGACAGAGATCTCAGTGCAAATGAGCAGCGATAATTATTTCACATGTGCCAGCAGGAGCCAGAACAGAAAGGGGCAGAATATGACACTGGATTGGTTTGGAGGCATCTTGTCAGTTTCGTGGAGGGCATTGTAGATGTTGACCCTGGAAGCAAAATAGATGGACAGTTAGAAACCATGCTGCTTTAGCTACAATCGAAAGCGTTAAGAATAAAAAGCAGAAGACTTCACTCTGGAGAAGGGGCTTTGTAGAGGGAAGAGGGGGACGTCTTACCTAAAATCAAGCTGTCTTACTCACTGCCACCTCTGAGCCCATTTTCAGATGTAGAATGGCTCGATGAAGAATCGGTTAAGTTTTAGAAGGAAGGAAAACAGGCAAGTCCTGAGAGGCTTTCTTCATCCTTTCCACAAAGGAGAGACGGGTATTTTTTGTTGTGCTTCAGAGCAGGTGGCGTGGACCCAAATTGGTCATGGCAGAGTCTGAGACAGGGTGATGCGTGTTCTTCTTAAGGAAATCTTGAGTTAAGGCTAATCTCACCTCGGTTGTGGCTCCTCAGAAATGCATGCTGTCTCATTAAGGAAAAATTATGGCAAGGGTTCAAAAATGTTACGCATTTATACAATGTGATTATTCAGAAAATTAGAATGGAAAGTGGTTTTAATCTGAGCTACTTGAGAAGCTGAGGTGAGAAGTTCACCACTTCAAAGCCAGTGTGGGTTAGCAGCTTCTCTTAGTCAGGAAGACTCCATCTCAAAATGAAAAAAAAATGGAAAATGGCTTGAATTGTAGCTCAGTGGTAGAGTGCACCTGGGTGCAATAAGCATTACCATGGAGCATGGGGGAGACACTTTTCTCTAGTAATCTGTTTCCATTGTCTCTCTAAAGACTTTTTTCAAAAAATTATTACAGTCCATGAAGAAATGTCAGTTAATATTGTTAAAATTTCACATTCAAATACCATAAAATACAACTGTAAATAATTTCACAAAAACTTTTAAGAAAAGTATAAAATGAGTCTACATGTAAAAATACACATTTTGTAAAATACTGGCAAAATTTCAGACTTGCAGCTAAGAAATGAGTTATATCAATAAATAATATTCATTTAATTTTGATTGTTCATTTAATCATTAAAAAGTATTATTTTAACACAAACTTCTAATATGAACATCTTAGCAATATATTATATATGATAAATAAATATTTCCAAATAAATCAAACTATGTACTAAAGTTATCTATATAAATATATTTGATTGTACACAGTTTTAGTGGACAATTTCATTATTTGCACACATATGTATCAAGTAATTACTACTGAGATTGAGGTAGAGAACATTTCTACCACTCTCAGAAACTAGGTGTAGAAACTTTCCACTAAGTGGTTTTACTATATACAATCAAGCAATTTTGAAAACTTACATTGTGGTAGTTTGACATATTACTACTTGCAGATAAAGAGATTACCTAGTTTGGATTCTGCATTGTCTGGTTTTTTCTACAACATAATAAACATGAAGTCTATCAATATTGACATATATAGGTAGATGGGTACATGAATATAGGATAGTATACTAGGATTACTACTCTACTATGAATATACTATATTTTGCACTTGTTTTGCCTAAACCTTGCACTTGATAAGAGAGATTTAGTTGTTTTCAGTTTTGAACCACAATTGAAAGAAGTGGCCACAAGCATTTTTCATAACATATGCATAAATTTATTTTAGGAATGTTTCTAGAAATAGAACTTCTGAGTCATTGGTAGTTCTATGAATGTATGAACTATAAAATTTTTATAATATACAAAAGGTTGTTTAAAGTGATTCTACAATTTTATACTTGTATTAGGCTATTCTTCAATAATTTATAAACTCTAGGGGGCTGGGGATTTAGCTGAGGGGCACCGCACTTGCCTTGCAAGCACAAGGTCCTGAGTTCAATCCCCAGTCCAAAAAAACCCCATATATATATATGAATTCTACTTGCTAAACATCCTTGACATTTGGAAATATCATAGTCATGTTTCTGGCTTTGCTTTTTAATTTCAGAAATTCAGGTTATTCCAAAGTGGGATCTCAGCCTGTGTGATGATTAATCTAGACTGTCAGCTGGATTGGCTGGGGAGACCCTAGGAGATTAGTAAAATAAACTTCCAGGAGTGTTTGTGTGGGTCTTGGAGGTGAGACCTTGAGCAGTATACAGGAGCCTGGGTTCCTCTTTGGCACTGTCCCCTGGGTTCTGACCCCTGACTGGAGCAGCTTTCCTCCACCATGTTCTTCTGCCATGCTTTTATTTCAGTAGGGGGCCAGCCAAACACGACCAGAAATGCCAAGCTTTGAGTTGAAATAAACTTCCTTTCAGCTGCAGTGTCACATATGTTGACCCAGGAGTGGGCAGCTGAGGCATACATCACAGTACAGCAGACTCCTAACTGGGCTAACATACAAACAACTTGGGTTACAGCAGGAATTTTAGTTTTAACTTATGACCAAGGTCTTGAGTTACAATCCAAATGCTGGCCACTTGTGCTTCCAGATGGTCTCAGATACAGATTTAACCCTTAAAGAGTCCTGGAAGGAACATTACATCCTTTCCTGTGTTGGGTTAACTCAGAAATCCTGGGCCGGTGTTTCTGCAAGGACACTGAGATCTGCCTGTATACAGGAGAGAGACTTTGAAGGCTGTGTAGAGGAGCCTGAGCCTTCAATTTGAAAAACTTGAGTTACAACCAGCCCTTGGTAACGAATTGAGTTCATAAGTCAAGGGTCCACTATATTTGCATTTCCCTGACTTTCATAACATTTTTACACTATAATTATTCTTTCATATATCATCATTTGTGAATCTTGTTCAAACTTTCATTTTTGTTAGTAATATTAGTCTTAATATTGTCTGAATATTAATTTTGTGTAGAAATATTAATATACACATTAATATCTTCTTCCAGATATATAGTATTCTAGTTTTACTATTCTTTATATTATAAAATAGATATAATACAGTTGTTTTATAGACTAACATAACTGAATCAGTTTAATGACCAATAAATAAATATTTCAAAAGGAATGTGGTCTATATTTTGTGTCACTTTCTGTCTTAAAATATTCCAAGATTTAAAAAAAATTTATTATCACCATTACTGTGGTATTCATACGACAAAATTCAATGTTGGTTCATTTCATGATTTTTAGTAATATTTTTACTATGATTTTTCAAAAGAAGGTTTTACTCACATTGTCCAACATCACACTTCTGAGATAACCGTGTGGCCTGCATCACGTTGATGGCGCCCAATACATCACTATTCAGTTGGATCTTAAAAGTATTGAAATAGTTATCTAAGTTTAGGGAGGTGGAGGTAGAAAATGAGCAATTTGCAAGAGGATTTCACATGTGCAGGGACCAGCTTGAAACCGCGCTGAGCAAGGTTTTAATATTACTGAATTGGCTTATAATTTGGCTACTGATTAAGTTATGAGTCTGTCCTATGCCTATGCATGACTTGCTAGATGAGACTTCAGCTGGCATATGGAAAAAGAATTCCCTGTGCCAACAGTCACAATTGAGATCTCAATAATCGATGATACTCTGAAGTCTCTAAAAGCAAGATGACATGGCAGCTGGGGAATTATGACCATGCGGCTACTGTCCTAGATCAAACATTAGCTAAAGATAAGGCAGGTGGCTTGTTAACTATGACCTGTCCTTCACAAGGTTGCATCCTTCCTCCCTTTTCTAAGCCTAGCTCATCAGTGCCTTAGTCCTACTCTTCCCTACATCTGCCTTTGTTTCCCCTGCTATGTTGTGGGATCAATAAATGCTGACAAGTCTGAAGCTCATGGTCTTAGCCAGGAAGAGTGAGGGTGAAATCCTGGCCCCCTCATAATAAACAGTAATTTGTTCTTTATTCTTTGTCTACTATTTCATTCCCTGCTGTACCCTCAGTCAGGTGGCCTAGGCAACCCCAAAACACATCACTAAAAGGAAGGAAAGAACAATATTAGGGATAGAAAAAGTAGGATGACATCACTGTGAATCCAGCCTGGGAAAAGCAATCATGAGTTGAGGACAATCAGGTTTTTTTCCAACGTCAAAGGAGAATTTTTAAGCACCAGTGATAACTGAAGAAAGTTATGACTGAGAATTGCAAATGGGCATTATTACATGTAAAATAATTCTACAAGCCTTATAAGAATGTATAAATCAAAGGATGCAATAGAATTCAGATAAAAGAATCAAGTTATGTGCTTATTCTTGACAAACTCCTGGCCCCACAGAATTATTTTATAATTGTATATCAAAATAAAATTATTTGTCTCTGCAAAATCATACTAGAGAGACCACTTTCCTGAAAACATAGTGTGTGAAAACATGAGAAGGTGACGATGACTTATTAAGGTATATATTTCATGATGTCAGACAATATGGAATCACATGAGAAATACAGAAACTTCTGTGAACTATCTTGGAGTTAAGAAAATGCATAGTCACAGAAAAAAGTAATCAGTAAGCTACAGTACATTATTTGGAAGGGGGCCTGCAATTCTTAGAGTGCCGCTTCTGAACTGAATGTTTTGCAATGTGATTTTCATGCATTGAGACAACTACTGAACACCCATCAGGATCTTCATGTTTACTCCATTCCTATTTTGAGTTCCAGTGTGTTGTATATATGTTAGTGTGCCATACAAAGTTATGTAAACATGCACACAGGTAAATGGGTATTAATGGTATTTTCTGTGTCTACCTTTCATACTCTTCTTACTTTTCAAATCATATTTATGCACAGCCACAGCTGCTTTCTCTGTGTCCACTTCTTCTTTTCTCATTCCTCCCAATACAGAGGCTACAGCAGAAAAGAAGGGAGAGATATCTTTCGTGTTTCATGGTTTTATAGGAACAGGTATAGAGCTACACAGTTTTTTAGGTACACACTCTCACTTCTCCTGTGACTCCCAACTTTTACACCTATCATTCAGTTTGAGAGAAACTTAATACCTTCTTCCTTTAGTGAAAATTTAAGAAACAGGTCAAAAATAAATTATGTGTTTCACTTATGTGTTTTTAAATGTACCATGTGGAAAATTACTTATAAAATTTAATGACCAAATAACATTTTATTGACTCTGTCTCCGATGATTTACTCTGAGATATCTATGCACATCCTTATTTGTCTCAGTAGCTTTTAAGTCTCTTGCTCATGGGATCTTTCCTCTGAATCCTTTACACTCAGCACAATATCTGCCCTAAAATGATGGTTGGTGGATGTTTGTCTCATTGGATCAAATGTTCAGATTTCTCAGTGTGAAAGCTCATATGCTTTTCTGGTATATTTCAAACATTTAAAAAATGCTGTAGGTTATGTAAAAACACATTATCACATAGGTTGCTGGAATTAATGTCAAATGAAACCCTAATCATATCTTTGTTTTTTTTAATCTGGTACACTTCTCTCCTCAATTTCCACTGTTGCTTCATTAGAGGCACAACTTAAAGTAAATTTGGCAATATCTATTATAATCTTTATGGGAAGTTTGCAACTAAGACCTGGAAATCAGGACTATTTGAATTATCTCAGTGTATATACAAACCAAAGTTGTTGGCATCTAATTCAAAAGTCATATAACTTCCTAATACCGAAATGGAGTTGAGAAGCATGGTTATATTTAGGAAATATAATGAAGGCCATCTCTGCTAAAGAATCAAATTATAGGGGCTTCAATAAATCTTCTTTTATCTAAAGCCCAACCAAAATAAAAAGTTTATCAATGTAATACATCAGAAATTTAGGTTCAAGCAAAACACAAAGAATAGTATTGAATTTTAAAAGCTATAATTAGTATGTCACATTGCCATATTTCTGTATTTTCCCATTTAAACACACATATGTACATACACACACTCAGAAAGAGATGGAGTGAGAGAATCTGTTTTTCTCTGAAATTCATCAAATATCTATGTATAATTTCTGATACAGGAGCCTTCGAAAGGGCACGTCTGTGACTAAAATTAATAGTATAAATCTAGATTTTTAAAATCATTATAGTTTTCTCTAGAATCTGGAAGGTATCATTTTTCTACCCTTAATGATTTTCTTGGTCTTAATTAGTCTATATTAAATAAAAATCATGTAGTTTTCAGTTTATTTTTTCCTATTATTCAATAATTGAGACAAGAGAAATAAAGCTACAATTAAGGGAAGCACCATAAAACTGAGACATGTATAGAAATAATCGATGGTATATGGAAATAAATGCATTTGTGGTATTTTTAAAAGCACTTAAGATACATTTTGAAGAGTATTTATAAAATTTAAGATAATTTACTGCATTCAACGAGCAACTCTGGTCAAAAGTAGACTTTCATTACACAAAATTCATTTCTCATTTTATTAGCTTTTATAATTGATAAGATGATTTATGTATGAGATGCTGTCTTCCATGTGTGTGAGAGAGTGTGTTTGTGTGTTCACATACACATTTCTAGATGTGGAAATTTCTTTTGTTGAGATTTCAAAATAAGTCTTTGGAAGAAGTTGGTATAAAAACTGCTGTTACTACTGATTTCCTGAAACAACAGGTTTCACCAAATATTAGGATACCTTCTAAAATCATTATTTTTATCTCATGTCTCTTTATTACATATTAGATTTTAACTTGCACATCCTACATTGTTCCTTTACATAATGTGAAAAAAAAACCCTGACAATCCTGTAAAGTTCCACTGGAAATTTAATCAGCAATTAAAGGAAAAATTTGTACTTCGTTTCCTGTTAGCTGCTCCTGACTATTTCTCCATCCCTTCAGCGGTGTGCCTGTTTAGGCCTCTGCGTCTGGGGGTTGTGAGTTCTGATTACTCTGTACCCAGAGCTTCTGCTTTTAGAGTGCTCTGTAACAGTGTGAATGTGCTACAGCATTACGTTTTCCTTTAAGTAACTCAACCCCAAAGCACCCAATTGTCTTCCTTAGAATAACCCCAAAGCAATTCATTCATTGGAGTTTGAAGCTCACACTTGAAAATACACGTTAACCTGGCCTGAACAGACGCTGAAGGCTTCCCCTCCAACTCCTCGTCTCTTTTCCGTTTGTCTCATCCTCCTTAAGCTGCAGCCGAACCCTCATTGCTCTGAAATATTATATATGGCATCTTTCCTGTCTCTGGGCTTCCTAGAGCTCCATCACTTTCTTTCTAATTTACCCACCCAATCACCCTACGGAGTGGACCTGAGACACCTCTTGAAACCCTTACACTTTACTTTCATTGTGAGGGCATCAGCATCAGTTACAAGTGGTCACTAATGTTTATGAGATTCCTAAGAATATTGTAAGTCATGTTTCCTATACACGCTCCATATACATTTCAATTATTTTAGATGAACTTTAATAAATTATATGGTTAATAATAGAATTTGAAAACTATGTCCATAAAATTCACTTGAGGATACAAATACTGCATAATTAACATGAAGAATCTGCACCCTTATTTCTGTTTTAGAGTTTGTATTTAGGTACAAAAACACAGATGCACACAAACACATGCACATACACACACTCTGAGCAAAGAGCTATGATAAACAGTATTTCAGTATTTCCTTTATACTTGTGCAAGGTTATCAAAGGGTTAATTAATATTAAATTTAAAACTAAATAATACCCAGGTAGTTGGGAAATTCTTTCTTAATATCTGTTTTAGCAAGTAGGGATTACCAAACGTATTTTAGCAAATTTTTCATTTCAGAACAATAGAATTAATAATATCAAAAAATATTTTGAATAAATTGATATTGATTGGAGCAAGGCTTTTTATTAGTCATCCTTAAAAACCTAAAGAGGCATTTGCTTTCTAAACAAACAAAAAACAGGTAAACCAAACCCAGAAACTTTTTTCAGAGATAGTGAAAACTAGGCTATACTTCTCAAAAATTTCTTACATTCATTTTCTTTTCTTCTAAAATATACACATGTAGACACACACATTTCAGCCCTCTATATCTAAGAGGTCCACTTCTGCATATCATTGCATGATCCATCATGCAATGTGCATTAGATCAAAAATAGCTGTATTTGTACCGAATATGTACAAACCATTTTGTCATCATTTATTAAATAATATAATATAGTAACAACTTACAAAGCATATACATTATATGAAGTAATCCAGAGATGACAATGTATATATAAATATATGCCCAAGCAATATGTAAATATTACATCATTGTATTAGGGATTTTATCATCCATGCATTTTGCTATGGCAGGTGTTGAGGAAAAAATTTCCTGTGGCTATCAAACAATGATTGTGTGTTTGTTTACATATACATATACATATACATAGACACACACCTACACACCTAAACACACATAAGTATGTGTACAAACATTCTCTAAATACCTATCTAAACACCTAAACGTATATCACATATGCACAATTGTATTTGGCGAGCTCAGCCTGTTCTCTGTTAACCGAGACCACCAAACTCATTAGCAAATTTACTCAAATATTAATTTGTTTTTAAATATATCAAAGTGGACCACCATGTATTTTACTATGACAGAAAGGGAAAATAACAACTTACCCCCAAAAAGAAACTATCTGAGATTATTTATCACCTATGGGAATACTGCCTTATTATTACAATGACTTTGCATATTGTTCATGTATATTTTTTAGACCTTTGTTAAACTCTCATTTTCCCTTCATTTTATCTAAAACCAAAACCAGACCACATTCAAATAATGCATACACATAGCACTGTGCTCATTTTCTGAAGAACAGAGTTTTATAACACTTTTGAGGCAGGGTGAAGAGGGTGTATTGTCTATTAGGTTCCACTTTTGAAGCTGCCACTTAAAAAGTAAATGCAAATTCATACTACAGTATTGATAATCTGTCCACACACAGAAGAGAGAACCTTAAAACTGAAAATGCTTTCAAAGTCACAGCCTTGGTTTCACAGTGTGATTTATTGTTGACTTTCCTCAGCATTTTCTGGTTGTTAATTCCCATGGGACTTGTGGAGTGGCTACACTGCATTTCATAGCCTACTTCTGGAGAGCGCTTTCTCCTATAGGTGGTTGAAAAGAATCGCTGAAGGCAGGCTTTGTAGAATGTTGTTTTTAAATTCTACCCTATTCAATTATTTTTCTTTTGATGGATGTCCCACTCTAGTTTCTTTATCTTTAACCAATATAGCACCAGAAATTCTGGGTAAAGTAGAAATTATCACAGCCATTTTAGAAGGGATGGTATATAAATTATTTGCCAAAATTGTTTACTAATATAATCTTAAGAAGGTTAAAAATAATACTTTTACTGTATTTTAGCTTGAAACAATATCTTTAAAAGTAATACAAATAATGCATTAAATTCTATTACAACCACAGTAATTATGTTTATAACATTTTGTTACTTTTTATTTCTAGATGACTAAAGTGAGATTCCTAATACTTTTAGAATTACAATCTCATAATCATAAATTATAAAATACAAATTTATCTTTAAACATAATCTAAATATATTCTCTTATTGCTAGAGAGGAAAAAATGATCACGAGTTGAGGAAAATCAGGTTTCTTTCCAGTATCATCTTTTGGGTATGGAAATATCTGTTCATATTGGAGAGAATCACTGGGGCCTGTTAACCACCATCTTGCTTTGTTTGCAGTGATTTATTTTGAAAAAAATTCATTTTATCACTACATTCAAAGTCACAATTAAACGGCATTTTGTTCCATTTTAGAATGGAGTGGAAGT